ACTGTTTGTTTAGTGTGGGTTTGGCTCCATCGCACAAAGTTTTAGAATCTTAATAAAGTGTCAGAACAGATTTGACGGTTGAAATGTTTTTTATCAAAGAACTCAAACTGGCAACAGTAAACAAACAGTGCGATTCAATTCGCTCCAAATTATTTGTTTAGAGTAGTTCTTGTCATTATTATTCCATTTTTTTGTCTCATAAATATTTTTAGCACTTTCTTACATATTTTGTCACATTTTAGCGTTCGCCACATTTTTACCCATTCAACGTTTTCGACATTTTAATGCTAATTTAGAACACTTTTACTGACTTGAAAATGACCTCGGAGAAGTCGAAACGTCGTGCTTTTTTTATAGCTAATACTTATCTCGAAATCGATCTCTAAGAAATTACTTATTGAAATCGGTGCTCCTAAGGTATTTTAAAATAGTTGAATGTAATACCCTCGCTTACCTTAAGATGTAACAGACATTTTTGGAAGTGTAGATAAAAAGTCCAGATTTAAAAAATCGAACGTCAATCTTACTGAATACCACTCCTGAAGAGTTTTTTTTCTGGGTCAATTGGTTTTGAAATACGATATCTTATTCATTCTACAAGTGCTGGACCAGGGAGACTGACTTAAAAGCCGCAACCAAATATACTGGTTAGAAAGTCATCGACCTCTACTCAACGAAAGGTCCAGTATCTCTTCATGGCCACTGCTGCAGCACCTTCGTTTCATTCCACAGAAGAGACAACCATTACGCCCGGTTATGCAGGCTTTTGATGGGTGTCGGATCAGATGTCCTGAGAAAAAACATTCGAAAAGAAGCGTCCCCCAGGAAACCTGGACACGGTCCTGTCAAGTCCTCCAGTTCATGCTGTGCTCCTATCACTGAAGAAGAAAGTGTTAAATCCTCAACAATGGGGTAAACTTTATCCTGCTGTCAGGTCTTCAGTGTCATCGAAGAGTTTCGATATCACTCTTCTAATGTTTCTATTGAGGAACATTTGTGGTCTTGTTCCTCCACCTACCGGCTGGAATACACTTCCTACTGCAGCAGACATGTCCCTTCAGGCAGATATCGTTCGCATCAAGTGTTACAGAAGCACAGTTTATGGTCATGGCAGCGAGGCCTCAGTTGATGACGCAACATTCAATCAATACTGGCAGGACATCCAAAGTCCACTGGTGAGACTGGGAGGAGCAGAGTACCAAAGTGCGATTGATGATCTGAAAAAGGAATGCTTGGATCCCGATTTCGAGGAACACTATAAGAAGCTTCTAAGGCAGTGGGTGAAGGATGAAGTTAGCATCAAGGAACGACTCGATCAAATGAGCAAAGGCCTGGACGAGTTAAAGGAAGCAATTGTCAATTCCACAAAGAAAGCAGGAGACAAAGGTATTGCGTATGAGGATAAAGTTTTCGCAGAGGCCTTGAAGGGAAAGATTGCAGGGCTTCTCTTTAGAGGATAATAAGGAGTTTAGCAAATTTCATTTCAGTAATGTTAAATGTCTGCCTTTAAAAAAAGCCCTAGCTTGGAGAAATTTCTTCCACTAATGATCTCGTCTTCACAAGATGACACCTGATAAAATGTTAATTTCCGTGATAGAGAAGATAAAAGATCTTCTTGAAGAGCAGCATCTATCGGTTCTTCGGAAAAGAGCTGAGTATAGAAATCGATATGAGGTTTTTCAATCTCTTCTTGGGAGGAGACTTCGATACCGGTAGAGTCATAAACCGAAGAGATGTGGGATCGTTGAGCTTTAATTCTTTGTAAATTATAAAAGTACCGACTGAGGGCGTTCGACTTCCCCTAGCCATTCTGCTCTACTACGAAGAATGATTCCTTCGACTTGTTTAGTTCGAAGGGCTTTCAAACGACACTCGGTGTCAGAAATTAAAGGGATAACGGAATTGTCTCCGTCAACTAAATGTAGACGAAGACAGATCAATTTGTTCGTCAAAATCGCCTGGTCTCTTTGCGATTGTCTTCGCTTTTTACGGGAAAAGGAGATCGTTTCTTCTTGAATAGACTGTTTTAAAAACTCCCACCAATCTTGGAGACACGGAAAATAAGATAAAAAACGTACATGATCATCGATTGGTTTCTCTATAGTAGCGCAATAATCCTTATCATCCAAAAGAGAGTTCTTAAAACACCAAACGCCTGGACCGTGTTTTACAGCGGTGGGAATATCAAAGGTAAGAAAAACGAAATCGTGGTCGGATATCGAACAAGGTCAAATGTTACACTTAACATTTGGTGATAATAAATCTTTCGAAATTAAAAACTTGTCAAGTATACTCCCAATTGAACTTGTGGAGTTAAACCACGTAAATTCTCTTGATCTTGGATGCAAATTTCGCCGAACATCTGAAAGCGCGAAATCACTTTTTAAAGATTCGTAGTCTTTTTGTATAGAGATATTCCCACCAAATTTATCGAGAGCGTTGTCGGAGCAATTGAAATCTCCTCCGATGATAGTCGCAGAGGAGGGAATGAAAAATTCATGAATCGAAATAAAAATTATTTTCCGTTCGGTAGGATTGGTAGGCGCGTAGATATTGACTACATTAATATCAAAGTCGTTGCACCTGATCAAAACACTGACAATACGACCTTGTGAGTCCTCCTTCCAAGATACGATTTCGTTTGAGCATTTCGAAGAAATCAAGGTGACGACACCACCCTGTTTCCCGGAGGCAGGGGACCAAAAACTACGGCCCAGCCATCTACGGGATAGAGATTTGATAGTAGATTCAGAATGAATTAACGTTTCTTGTACAAAACAGACATCACAGTTGGACTTCTCGATCAAATCAAACAAGAAATTGTAGGTAAGGGGGTTTGCTAGCCCCCTTGCATTAATAGTTAAGAGTTTGAAGGAAATTGGAAAAAAGACAGAAAAAAATTAAGACTTACTTGGACTTTTTAGAGGGTCTATTTTTTCCTTCATCTTTTCCGTGGGGTTAGTCTCCTTTCGACTTGGAGATACATCGGATGATTTTCTTTTGAGATCGTGAGTGGTTTCCATATCATTTTCGGTTTCAGGGGTATATAGTGGATGAGACGAGGCTGTGGTAGGAACAGGTTCGATGAGCGTGGCCTTCCAGTGGTGAGCGCAGGTGTAGTAGGTTTACGAGTGCAGGCAAGGGACAGATCAGGCAAGCGAGCAGGTGTGCGACGGGATGATGGCTTGATGGGTTTGGGAGCAATGAAACCATGCATGAGGATCCAGGATCGGGGAATCAAGAGATGGATGACGGTTGAGAATATTGTTCAGAGAGATTGTGCGAGGGAAGTTCGGGTTGAGAGTGTTGCTATTCAAGTTGAGAGTGTTGCAAAGGCTGTTCGGGTTGAGAATGTTGCAGAGAATGTTCAGGTTGAGAGGGTGGCTGAGTCTCGTTAAAATTTTCAGGTTGAGAAGGCTGTTCCGGTTGAGAAGATTGATCAGTTTCATTTAAATCTTCAGGCGGGGGGGAGAAGGGAGGCAGACTCTCAGCAAGTTCATCGTTGACGGGCGGATTTGGCGGAGGAAAATTTTCAGAAGATCGTTTTGGTGGAAGAGGAACAGAGGCAAGTGGAGAATTTTCGTCCATAGAACCATGGTCGTCTGATACATCAATGTTTACTTCATCTGTTTCATCGGTTTCGGCGCAGTGAGTGAGTGGATAGACCCAAGAGTAATCACGATTGATCCCCAAGTGGCCCTCTTTACAAATACAGCATAGAACGGGGCGTTGACACTCTGACGCCTCGTGGCCAATGCCTTCGCAATTAAAACAAATCTTGTTGGGGCAGCCATTAGAAAGTGTCCAGAACAATTACATTTGCGGCAAGTTGGAACTTGGCCATTATGTCGCAGGAAGATCTGAAACTTTCCAAATCTCAGGAAACTCGGGATAGGTTTAAAAAACCGAACACGGTAGTATTGAAAACCATTGTAAATAGCGGGAGCATAAGAATGCTTACCTCTCCGGTAGTGTAACACCTCACGGTAAGGTGCTAGGCGTTTAATTATCGCCAAATCTGATAGTTCAAAGGGCGCTTCGCAGATGGTGACAAATGTCAACGGTTTGTCAACATCTTGTAGGGCGTAGTTTTCTGAAGCAGTTTTTTAGAGAATTCAAGCTTAAAAACCTTTCTTTGGCGATCTCAGACTTGAAAGTCACGACGACATCCCCATTAAGTTTTCGTTAGAGGCATTGTATGTCTGTAAATTTAAAGTTGAGCGCCCAAAAAGCGTCGAAAACGGAACGAGCAGTCGCTGATTTAGACGGTGTAAAGAAAGCGCTTCTCGGCCGCTGCGGCATGTTGTTTTTAATAAAAGCAGAGACTCCCTCGTTTGGCACATCATTTCCAATATTTCCAGAGGTACGTGCAGCTTTCGACGCATATGATTCTCCATGTACGATCGACGAGTCTTCAATGGTTCCATCGGAAACTAAATCTTCTAACAATCCCTCGGTATTCATACCTGAATCCATAAATCACACACAAAGCTAATGAAAAAAGGCCCAAAGGCCAGACTGACCTTGAATCAAGTTAAACTTCGGCTAATCGAGGAGCTCAAAATCGCACGTCTGAATTAGTATTTTTTCGGGCCCTCTGGGCCTCATCAGTGCAGTTTTTTTTATGTTTAAGGCGGACGGCCAGGCTCCCGTGAGGGCGGTGCAATGCCTGCCGACCTAAATGTCTAATCCAAACCCGCCGCCAGAGTGCAAGGGCTTGAGGGTTGGGACCGCCATAAACGGAGGGCCCACCAGGACGCCAAACTCGCTGGGGGATCGAACCCCACCTCCCAGGTTAATCACACACTTTCAAAGATTAAACTCCCATGCTCAGATTAGTGATAATGGTTAGTCAAAGCACCAAAATACCACACTCACGCATACCCGCTGACACACTTACCTACCACAGTAGGGACAAAAGCAAACAAAAACATGGACAAAACATGAATAGAACAGAACCACTGTGCAGTACACCAATGAAGGAGACCCAGCACAAGTGGCTACATGACAGACACAACAGGACTGAAAGATTTGCACCGCCTGAAGGCTAGAGGTAGATAAAACTTCAAGCGGGCTTTAATGGACGCAATCACCGCAACGGCACCAGGACGAACATTACGGAACCGGTAATCGTTCCTACACAACCAAATACAGTACTTAGAAACATTAAGAAGGTAGACGAAACCCCAAGGGACAGAAATCAATTCACTCGTCTTAAACCCGAAAAGAACATGACGTAAAAGAATGACAGGACTCATAGGGGAGAAAACGAACAACAAAGACTGGACCCAGGAGAGAACACTCTGAGCAAGCGGACAATAGTAAAACAGATGCTCAAGTGACTCAACCTGGGGACCGCAAAAACAGAACGGAGAAACCGACAAACCAAAAAGAGAGAGACGCCGAGCGGTGTACAGAACGCCATGCGCAATCTTCCAGTTAAGGTCGGTGACACGACGATCCAGGTCGAACATAGACAGGGTACGCCACGTGGCAGGCCAATCAAGATTAGGGAATTGAAGTTCATACTTGTACACACAACGGGGCTGGACCATGTTCTCAGAAAGGAGATACAAATAGCATGACTTAGAAGACATGCTGACAACAGGGGAACAGACCAAAGGAGACGAAGAAGCATAAACAAGGCAATCCCTGGACGTGGCAAAAGACCCATCAAGTTTCCGCCACGCTAGGATCAGAGACTGGTAGAATGGTGGCAAGGCTCTAGAGTCAACAGAAAAAGGGCGGGAAAACGCAACGAGAGGAGAGACACCAAGGACAGACTGAAACCAAAACGACATCAGTGAGACCCAACTGGAGGGAGAGGAGGCAAACCTCCTCACCCATTGACCCAGAAGAGCCCACACCTTGAAGCGAACACTGACCACTGAAAAACCACCAAAAAGAGCTGGCTGCACTACTGCAGCGCGGGCGACGAGCTCCCGCTTGCCAGACCAAAAGAATGAAAACACAAGTCGAGTAAGCTCCGTCTCCACCCAAGCCGGCATGTGGATGAGTGACGCCACATACCAGACCCGGGAGAGGGCGAGAGCATTAATAACGAGAGCCTTGCCGCGAAAGGTCAGAACACGTGAACGCCAGGATTTGAGAACATGGTCCACCGCAGAAATGCGCGGGCGCCAATTATCCTCTTCCAGGTTACCAGGACCGATAAACACTCCAAGGACCTTGAGTTTCGAAGGTGTCCAATCGAAAGGGACGGGGGAGTCCGTACGGCCCCGCCAGCCGCCCAACCAAAGGCCCTTGGACTTTCCGAAATTGATCTTTGACCCGGACGCCCGCTCATACTGATGATAAACTTCCAGAGCAGCTTTGATCCCATCGTCGGATGTTAAAATTAACGACGTGTCGTCAGCATACTGAGATATGGGGGATAGTGGGGGACACCCCGGGAGGGAAAGGCCAACGATACGGGGGTTGGAGCGAATACTACAGGCAAGGACCTCCAAAACAAAAACGTACAGCAGAGGAGACAGGGGACACCCCTGCCGGACACCTCGCGAGAGACCGAAAAACGGTGTCAGATGACCATTTACATTAATAGCACTTTGGACCTACCAGTAGAACAAGTCTACCCAAGCAATGAATTGGGGGCCGAAACCCATGGCGACAAGGGTAGATCGCAAAAAGCCCCAATGCACCCGGTCGAAGGCCTTTTCTTGGTCGAGGGATAAGATTGCAACCGCGGTGCCCAAAGCAGAGTGAATACTGTGGAGGTGAAGGAGTAAATCCTGGGCCTCATCAGTGCAGTGCTGATGTTAGGATGGGGGAGAACCTATATGGTTACCCCGAACGATCCCACATTTGTGGTATCGTCTAAGCCATGCCAGAGTGCTCAAACTAGGAAACCCTAGTGAGCTATGCGCAATGCTAATATAAAAGGCTATTACAATAAAAATACAAAATGCCAATACCCGTTAAAAACACTAGTTAACTAATACAAAAATTACACAAGAATAGAAGACAGAAACGATTCATCTTTGCGCAACATTTCCAGTAAGGAGCGCATTCAGTAGGCGGAGCTTAAAAGCGTTTACATTCTCAGCTGCTTTTAAGTCCTTTGGGAGGTTGTTCCACAATTTGCATCCGCGATACGTGAATGCATGTTGCCCAGAGGACAGGCGGCATCGTGGGATGTGGAGCAGACTACATGATCTTGTTACCGTACTGTGAATACGAGATTGTGGGACAAACGTGTTAGCCAGGTAATCAGTAACTAAATTATTTACACATTAAAATACCATTACAGCATCTTTGAAATAAAGTCTCTCCTTAACAGTGAGTCAACTAAGAGATTTTATGCCTTGGGAGATGTGGTCAAATTTCCTAACCCTTTACCAGCAGGAAAAAAACCTTTTAATATGGCCATACAAAACTTAAGCTCGCTTTGTTTGTCGTTATATGAAGTATCCCTTAAAATATTTGCGGTTTTGAGACACAGTTGGTTCAGACTCTCGGGTCACGTGACCTAGATCATCCGCTCGTGTTTGGATGCGTTGAAATTGATTTGTTTTCTCGCGTTTATAAGTGTTTTTAGAGCCATTTCCCTCTACAGAAGCCCTCAGGACAGCATCATTAAGCTGGAATGTGGGTAGAGACAAGCCTCTGAAAGAAACAGAGGTGAGAGGTGGTTTGATGTAGACTGGACCGCCAAAATGCTTTCATGCAAGCTTGGCGAGTTCATAAGTGAAGTTGTGTCTCTGGCCCATCTGCGGATGGCTACCAGGACCCACCAAGGCTTTTTGGGCCAGTTTTGAGAGGAAAAAGTCTCGATCGATGTGATATTCTGCTAGTGGGACTGGGTGGCCCGACACGATTGTAATAATTTGTTAAAATGGAAATGTGAGGTGTTGCCTCCTCGAGTTGTGGTGGAGTTTCCCAGAATTCCTTTCGGTCATAAACGAGGCAAAGGTTGTGTTTGCGACACTAGCTTTTGTCAAAAGGAAGAACAAGGGCTAGCGGATAAAGTGAGAAGGAATTTTCCAGCCAAACAGCAAGATCTGGTCCTGAGGTGTGTTTTGATTTCTTGAGCAAATTTTTATCTTAAGAGATCGACACTTTTTCAGTGCTGCTCTTAGAGCAGAATGCTGGATTTTTGGGATCTGTTGTTATATGAACGGTTCACTGCAATGGAAATCGGGAATCAATGTGGGTGTTTTAGGCTGTAATAGGTGTCACATCAAACAGCCTTGCAATGTACACACTTACATAATGCTGTCTCTTAATTTCAACAAGAAACAAATAACAACAGTAATAGTAGTAATTACTGCCATGTATGCGTGGCCTGCTGGTAAAGGGTTAGGACCTAATACAATACGGGCAGCGAGTTTTTGCACCAGCCGAAGCTTCTTTATATTTCTTTGACATGTGTTGGCTCATACAGTTGAACAATAATACATTGTACTAAAATAAAAAGCGTTCATCAAAAGTAAGAGAGTTTTCCTGTCCAAAAGGTGTTTGATCCTGCTGATCTCTACTAGTTTTAAAATACAGTTAGAAGTAGTTTTAGCAGTATGATCGTTATATGTTGAGGACTGGTCGATGTAGACTCCAAGGTCCTTTGCCACAGGCAGTGGTGTCATTTCCTTTCCCAAGAGTGAAATTGACGTTGGAGGCAATTTCCGCAGTAGTTGAGGAACACCAACTAGTAAGATTTTCGTTTTAGCTGAGTCTATTAGAAGGGAATTCTGACAGCACGATCGGCAGATTTCACTCAAATCTTCGTTCAGATAGCCAAATACGCGAGCGATGTCAGTTGAGCGAAAGGATAGGTATAATTTACAGTCATCGACGTTGCACACAGACTTGCAGTGGGCTGGAACGGACAAGAGATCATTTACATATATGGTAAATAACACGGGTCCCAAGATAGAACCCTGCGGAACTCCGTATTTAAGAGGGAGCGGGTCTGAGATAGCATCCCCAATGCGTACTCTCTGGCTACGACCAGACAGGTAATTATGAAACCATTCCAAGCTCGAAGAGGCAACACCTATACTCTGTAACTTCTGAAGGAGAATACCATGTCTGCTACTGTCGAATGCCTTAGACATGTCTAGTAGCACAACAACGGACACTTCACTCTTATCTTCACTCTTATCAATAGGTCGCGAATATTGGCTACCGTAGTCGTTCGAGGACAACCAAATGGGAGGAGACGGAGTGGGGAGAAAACTTGAATATATTATTCGTTTCTTTGTATTTCTGTGTCATTTACAATGGTAATTCAACTGGGTGGAATGCAACTTGGTCATACGCGCAGTTTCAAAAATCAAACGAGTGCTACGGACTAGTTTGATTTCGAAAGAGTGAAAGCGCATCTAAAGCCTTCTCATTCATCTTTCAGTCGCGTTCGCGTCTCAACTAAACAATTGTTTCTTCAACCTTTCCACAGTCAATGATCTATTTTCGAGTGTGTTCATTAATTGGGACAAATTCAACAAATCGACAGTGTTTCAGTGTGGTCTGTACTGTTATCGACAACAGTATCCGTTATAACAGCGGTAGAAGTGATGTGGACTTAAGAGGTGCAGTAGAGTGAGTCCATAACAAATCCTCTGTGATGACATTTATCGTTTTCGATAAAAATACAGATCACGCTAAACCACTGTCAGCTACTGTCGATTTGTCTCCAAACTCAATTAATTGTCCACGTCAAATGGAGCGATTCTTTCAATGCGTGACACGTTGCATGGCAAGTTGACGGAGCAGCGTTGTCCTGTACTCTTATCGACAACGGCAAATTTTCTGACTTCCGCTCAGGTTGTCGAAACGTCAGTCCCCACCACCGACAACAGTCGTTTTTAGGACTAACTCAGCCGGACGATCGCACTACAATTCCACAGGGGCAAATTGGCGAATCAGATTGCGACATTACTTGCCAAAAAATTGTGGTAAGTTTCAAAATCCTCCCTAGTTAATATTTTTTGAACATTCCAGCCACTTAACAGTGCCCCACCCTGCCCACAGGTCAATCGTTAAAAATGGCTTTTACTCAGTCATATCCATAACTCATTAATCAGAACTTAACGAGGTGAAGATCCCGCCACAACTGATCATAAATCATGGCCATTCTTACTGAAGATTCAAAGGCATACTCCGGGTACTTATCACAAGAAGGACGTTCCTGATTTTGTTCACTATTCAGGATAACTGTACTGACCTACTATTATTCATAAAAACCGCCACCATTCCTCTCCCTCTCCCAGCCTCAACATAACAGAAAAAAAAAGAACAAAACATTACAAAATAACAATTACATTAAATTGCAGTGTTGGATCCTGTGTTTAATCGATCATTCACTTTCATCTGGACTACTCAGAATAAATAGTTTATCCCCCTAAAAAGAATTAATAAGTGCTTCCCGAATTAGAAAAACCGAAAAACAAACAATGAAACATAGGAACACAAATATCGTTTTCGTACAAAGTTAGTAATATAGGTGGTTTGCAACCCGAATCTCTAGAGACACGGGTAACAATGGTGAAAGGAACAACTGCAGGTGGTCGAAAAAAGAAGCTAACGAGATATCTATTGTTTACGTCCACCAACATTGTGGCGATGACGTAACGTGCAAACCACCTTAAGTATGAAATTTATCATTATTCACAAATTACCGAGCATTATTAAAAGAAAAGTTGCAAAAGTCAGATTATAGCCGGAAAGCAAATAAATCAAAGATAATTACATTTACTGGCTGTGTTAGTTCAACTCTGCACTACCCTGATATAAAGATCAACTCTGCACTACCCTGATATAAAGATCAACTCTCCAATCTGTGTACCATACATTTCTTATAGTTTTAGTTTTCTTACAGTGTTATAGTTTTAGTTTCTTATAGTTTTAGTTATAGATTTGTGTGAAGTTAAACAGCACATTTCTGCTAAAAAATGTGTTGATATTGTTGGGGGAAGTGCATATTTTGGTACTCCTGTTAATTACTGAGGTCTAGGATTAAGTTAAATAATTTGCTCACATCCACTTCAAAGTCTTCTCATTTCCGAAACAATTAGGAAAACCGTGTTGATGTCCTTTTGCCAATTGTTTTCTCTACAGAATAAATGTTGGTCAGGAACATTTTGATAAAAAAATCTGTAACAATTACTACAATCATGTCTCCTTAATACAAAGTCAAATGAATATGCTCAATTTAAGAGGCTTAGACACATGAATTTTATATGATTTACCAGTGAGCAGTTATCCACTTATCATTTAAAGCAAGGTGTTTTTCCTCTTATTTCCTAATAAAGATATCATTAACTTCTTATTGACTTTGCAGCACTGCAGTGTGTCCCTGGAATACCTTTTTTGTTTCCTTTTTGTGTCATTATTATTCAAATATGCGATTCAAGGAAATTTCGTTACTTGACTTGTGAATTCCGCGTTAAATTGTACTTGAAAACCAATATCGCACTCATCGCTTCGCGTTTCATGCGATATTGGTTTTTGCGTACAATTAAATGCGGAATTCTCTTA